CCCCAAACCAAACCAAACTAAACCACACACACACACTCTCCTCAGAGGGGAGCTGCAGGTTCCCCATAACTGTGTGACGTCATTATTGCTTGTTGCCTTCTCAGCCTCACGGAGAGGGATGTTGGAGGGAACAGCTAGTGCATTCTACTTTTTAACAAGCCCTCTGTTGTTTCTGTCTGTTTGTCTTGATTTCTCAACACTCGAGTGTGCGTGCTTTTTCTGATTCAAAGATACTCTCATCACATTTTGCAGATGTGAACGCATTCGTTTTTTTGGTTAACTTTTCCCCCAGCAGTAGTTGCAAATCGTGGTGAAACAGGTGCTCGTCAAAAGAATGAAGTCGAAGGAAATGGCATTTTCCAGCCCGTTTGGCAATTTTTATTATTTGATTTTTGAATCATCACCTGTTATATCTATCTAAAACGTATTTTTGTGTTGATTTTAGGCCGACAGATAAAAAAAATAAAAATTGGTCAAAGGCACAAAAGTGTAAATTTACAGTTACCAAGGATACCTAAGCTTAGGAATTCACCAAACGTTGGCTGCCATTTTTACGCTAAATTTACTTCTGTCACTAGGGGACCCCCACCTCCATAAATCGCAAATATCTGGATTTTTATTCTGATAGCTGGGTATTTTTTCATTAAAAATGAAACACATGGAAAAGCTTTCAGGTTGTAAATAACTCCATAATATGCCTAAAAAAATTGAGGATGGCCCGACTTCATTGCGTTGCGTCGTAACACCTATGACGGAGGGTGTTGTTAATGTACGCTTTGATGTGCTTCTCTTCTTCGATTTCTCGTAGTCTTATTGTAGATCTACTCTGTATCTGGCGAAATATGACCACCACCACCACCACCACCGTCATCCCCACACCGCCACCTTCACCACCACAAACACCAGCAGCAACAACATCAACAACATTAGCAACAGCAGCAATAACAACAACATAAACAACAGCAACAACAACAACATTAGCAACAGCAGCAACAACATAAACAACAGCAACAACAACAACATAAACAACAGCACCAACAATAGGAACCAATGAAGACTGGTGACGACACTAATTGAAACGCGTGTCAATCACAGCGCTGAGACAAAAGAAAGTGTTCTGAGTCGGTGCACCAGTAAAGGAACCTTAAATGCCTCTAACTTTCTTTCTCCACACCCAATAGCTTCACTTCTAAACCACTGAACCATACTTGACTTGGAGAGACTTAATGGCGCTTGGATTCGAACTCGATATATACTATGCAATTAAATCGACTAGGGTACCTTTGTGCTACATACCAACAAAAACTAGCTAGGCCTCACGATCCTCTTAAAACGCGTATAGTATCTAAGAGGACCATTACGTTTTGGATTGAACTCACACAGTTTAAGGTTCAGGAGTTATGTGATGTCTTTAAAAAAATGTAAAACCATTTTGTTGTTGTTGTTGTTGTTGTTGCTGCTGCTGCTGCTGCTGCTGCTGCTG